GTTAAGCGGAGCATAACGAACTCAGAACCGCTTTCCGAATTGAATTTCATGCATTTTTGGATGAATTATAAACATTTGAAAATGAGATATTTTTCTTATTGTTTAAAAAATTCTTTAAAAATTACAGGTAGAAATTTCAGTAAAACTGAGTAAGCAGTTTTGTTAAGCGGAGCATAACGAACTCAGAACCGCTTTCCGAATTGAATTTCATTTAATTTGTTAAAAAAACCGAATTGAATTTCATGCATTTTTGATGATATTTTGATAAACATTTGAAAATGAGATATTTTTCTTATTGTTTAAAAAATTCTTTAAAAATTACAGGTAGAAATTTCAGTAAACCTGAGTAAGCAGTTTTGTTAAGCGGAGAATAACGAACTCAGAACCGCTTTCCGAATTGAATTGAATGAAACATTTGAAAATGAGATATTTTTCTTATTGTTTAAAAAATTCTTTAAAAATTAAGGTAAAATTCAGTTAAAACTGAGTAAACAGGTAGAAATTGTTAATAAAAAACTCAGAACCGCTTTCCGAATTGAATTTCATGCATTTTATGAAAAACAGGTGAAAATGAGATAATTATTTTCTTATTGTTTAAAAAATTCTTTAAAAATTACAGGTAGAAATTTCAGTAAAACCTTCGAGTTAAGCAGTTTTGTTAAGCGGAGCATAACGAACTCAGAACCGCTTTCCGAATTGAATTTCATGCATTTTTGGATGAATTATAAACATTTGAAAATGAGATATTTTTCTTATTGTTTAAAAAATTCTTTAAAAATTACAGGTAGAAATTTCAGTAAACCTGAGTAAGCAGTTTTGTTAAGCGGAGCATAACGAACTCAGAACCGCTTTCCGAATTGAATTTCATGCATTTTTGGATGAAATTTATAAACATTTGAAAATGAGATATTTTTCTTATTGTTTAAAAAATTCTTTAAAAATTACAGGTAGAAATTTCAGTAAAACTGAGTAAGCAGTTTTGTTAAGCGGAGAATAACGAACTCAGAACCGCTTTCCGAATTGAATTTCATAAATTGAAAATGAGATATTTTTTTGTTGTTTAAATAACGAACTCAGAACATTTCAGTAAAATTTCAAAATGAGTAAAGTTTTTTAAGCGGAGATAACGAACTCAGAACCGCTTGTTTAAAAAAATAAAATGAGATATTTTTCTTATTGTTTAAAAAATTCTTTAAAAATTTACAGGTAGAAATTTCAGTAAAATTTAAAAAAACAAAACCCTTTCCGAATTGAATTCAATGAATTATAAACATTTGAAAATGAGATATTTTTCTTATTGTTTAAAAAATTACTTTAGTTAAACCTGAGATAAGCAGTTTTGTTAAGCGGAGCATAACGAACTCAGAACCGCTTTCCGAATTGAATTTCATGCATTTTTGGATGAATTATAAACATTTGAAAATGAGATATTTTTCTTATTGTTTAAAAAATTCTTTAAAAATTACAGGTAGAAATTTCAGTAAAACTGAGTAAGCAGTTTTGTTAAGCGGAGAATAACGAACTCAGAACCGCTTTCCGAATTGAATTTCATGCATTTTGGATGAACATTTTGGATAAACATTTGAAAATGAGATATTTTTCTTATTGTTTAAAAAATTCTTTAAAAATTACAGGTAGAAATTTTTAAAAAATTCTTTAAAATTACAGGTAGAAATTTCAGTAAAACATGAGTAAGCAGTTTTGTTAAGCGGAGACATAACGAACTCAGAACCGCTTTCCAAATTGAATTTCATACATTTTGATGAATGAATTATAACACATTTGAAAATGAGATATTTTTCTTATTGTTTAAAAAATTCTTTCTTAAAAATTACAGGTAGAAATTTCAGTAAACCTGAGTAAGCAGTTTTGTTAAGCGGAGCATAACGAACTCAGAACCGCTTTCCGAATTGAATTTCATGCATTTTTGGATGAATTATAAACATTTGAAAATGAGATATTTTTCTTATTGTTTAAAAAATTCTTTAAAAATTACAGGTAGAAATTTCAGTAAAACTGAAAGTAAGCAGTTTTGTTAAGCGGAGAATAAAATTACAGGTAGAAATTTCAGTAAACCTGAGTAAGCAGTTTTGTTAAGCGGAGCAATAACGAACTCAGAACCGCTTTCCGAATTGAATTTCATGCATTTTTGGATGAATTATAAAACATTTGAAAATGAGATATTTTTCTTATTGTTTAAAAAATTTCTTTAAAAATTACAGGTAGAAATTTCAGTAAAAACTGAGTAAGCAGTTTTGTTAAGCGGAGAATAACGAACTCAGAACCGCTTTCCGAATTGAATTTCATGCATTTTTGGATGAATTATAAACATTTGAAAATGAGATATTTTTCTTATTGTTTAAAAAATTCTTTAAAAATTACAGGTAGAAATTTCAGTAAAACTGAGTAAGCAGTTTTGTTAAGCGGAGAATAACGAACTCAGAACCGCTTTCCGAATTGAATTTCATGCATTTTTGGATGAATTATAAACATTTGAAAATGAGATATTTTTCTTATTGTTTAAAAAATTCTTTAAAAATTACAGGTAGAAATTTCAGTAAAAAAACATAAAGAGTTTTGTTAAGGGGAAGAATAACGAACTCAGAACCGCTTTCCGAATTGAATTGAATGAAACATTTGAAAATGAGATATTTTTCTTATTGTTTAAAAAATTCTTTAAAAATTACAGGTAGAAATTTCAGTAAACCTGAGTAAGCAGTTTTGTTAAGCGGAGCATAACGAACTCAGAACCGCTTTCCGAATTGAATTTCATGCATTTTTGGATGAATTATAAACATTTGAAAATGAGATATTTTTCTTATTGTTTAAAAAATTTTAAAAATTACAGGTAGAAATTTTAAAAATTATTTTTGATGAAATTTGAAATTTTTTTCTTATTGTTTAAAAAATTCTTTAAAAATTACAGGTAGAAATTTCAGTAAAACTGAGTAAGCAGTTTTGTTAAGCGGAGCATAACGAACTCAGAACCGCTTTCCGAATTGAATTTCATGCATTTTTGGATGAATTATAAACATTTGAAAATGAGATATTTTTCTTATTGTTTAAAAAATTCTTTAAAAATTACAGGTAGAAATTTTAGTAAAACTGAGTAAGCAGTTTTGTTAAACGGAGAATAACGAACTCAGAACCGCTTTCCGAATTGAATTTCATGCATTTTTGGATGAACATTTTGGATAAACATTTGAAAATGAGATATTTTTCTTATTGTTTAAAAAATTCTTTAAAAATTACAGGTAGAAATTTCAGTAAACCTGAGTAAGCAGTTTTGTTAAGCGGAGAATAACGAACTCAGAACCGCTTTCCGAATTGAATTTCATGCATTTTTGGATGAAATATAAACATTTGAAAATGAGATATTTTTCTTATTTGTTTATGTTTAAAAATTCTTTAAAAATTACAGGTAGAAATTTCAGGAAAACCTGAGTAAGCAGTTTTGTTAAGCGGAGCATAACGAACTCAGAACCGCTTTCCGAATTGAATTTCATGCATTTTTGGATGAATTATAAATAAACATTTGAAAATGAGATATTTTTCTTATTGTTTAAAAAATTCTTTAAAAATTACAGGTAGAAATTTCAGTAAAACTGAGTAAGCAGTTTTGTTAAGCGGAGCATAACGAACTCAGAACCGCTTTCCGAATTGAATTTCATGCATTTTTGAATGAAATATAAACATTTGAAAATGAGATATTTTTCTTATTGTTTAAAAAATTCTTTAAAAATTACAGGTAGAAATTTCAGTAAACCTGAGTAAGCAGTTTTGTTAAGCGGAGAATAACGAACTCAGAACCGCTTTCCGAATTGAATTTCATGCATTTTTGGATGAATTATAAACATTTGAAAATGAGATATTTTCATCACTGATGGAAGTGAGCATCACTTATGGAAGTGAGCATCACTGATAGAAATGAGCATCACTGATGGAAGTGAGCAAAACTTTTCATTCAAATTGGCCGCTTTCCAAACTGGGGTACCAGGCGAACAGAAACCAGCAGCAAGCAACTGAAAACTGGTATAAACTGTTATAAAAACTTTTCATTTTATGCATTTATACCTATTTGTTGCCGACAACAACAGCTTATGGCAACAACAACCTTTTTACAACAACATCCCTACAGCAGCCCATCCAAAATTCCGAACATTTCCATGCAAATTGCCCGTTTCCCAAACTGGGGTAACAGGCGAACAGAAATCAGCAGCAAGCAACTGAAAACTGGTATAAACTGTTATAAAAACTTTGGGCCACGAAAAACGTGCCAGTGTGACCATATTGTAAATTTTGTCCAAGTTTCAAACCATTTCGGAGCCGACGAAAGTTAGCGGAGACTCAAACCGTTTGAATCCAAATTTAGGTGTTATTTTACAACTGCACCTGGGCACACTGAAACTGATCGTCGTTAAATTCAAATTCAAATTTGGCAGTTAAAATATATAAAAAAAAATTTGTTTAATTCTAAAAAAAATTCTTAAATAAATATAAAAAATCTAAAAAATGTTAACAAGTCAGAAAAAATTTTTTTTTAAATCAGAAAATTTTTAAAAATTTAGAACAATTTTTTAAAAATTTAGAAGAATTGTAAAACATCCGAAAAAAATGTTTAAAATTCAGAAACAAAATTTTAAAATTTAAATTTTGCTTTCAAAATAATTAGATTTTTCCCCAAACGATCCCAAATAAATGCCGCCTTCACAAAAAAAATTGCACATTGATTTCACCATTTTGCGAGGCAAAACCATTTAAGGCAAAACTGAGTATGCAGTTTTGTTGAGCGTAGAAATCCCAATTCAGAACAGCTTTCCGAATTGAATTTCATACATATAACACAGAAAATCTTGCTTATCTTAGTTATGGGTTTTTTAAACTTTGATTTCTCCACACAAAATAGTTCGATAAAAATCAATCGACAGCCGCAAAATGCAAAGTGCAGCTTGGTGGCAATGTAAGCCCCACTTCATTGCACATTTCGTGAGCTTCGTGCGATAGTTGAATGGGGGTAGCATAGTGAACGGATCACTTTATACATATATATTTATATACCAATCAATCTTCCATTCCCGATTCCCGATTCCAAACTGAAGTTAGTGGAAAGATAAGGGTGTCAACCTCGTTGTTATTTCAGTTTATTCAGAGATATGAGCGGACATTCACCTGCTTATTATGGGGCGGATGCGGTGCGTCGTGTGCTCACCTGGCCGCTGGTCAATGCTGCTGTGGAGTCAGCGTTAAAGGCGGTGGTCAAGGACCAGGGATCAGCCGGATCCCCATTTGCCATCCAACCGAATAGGATTTTTACCAACTGCGGCGATCGTAGCCAGGTGCTGTTGACCATGCCCGCCTTCGTGGGAAACTACAGTCTCGGTTTGAAGGAGGATGCAGCCTCATCCCGCTCCACGCTCGCCTGCAAGTTGGTGACCTCCTTCAGTGGGAATCCCCAAAGGCAGCCCCCGCTGCCCAGTGTCCAGGCTCATGTCCTGCTGTTCAACAATCAGACAGGCGAACTGTCGGCCATAATGGAGGGCACGGATCTGACCACTTGGCGCACTGCTGCCGCCTCCGTGCTGGCCACCAAATATCTCTACTTTCGGCGTTTCGGTTCGCAGGCGGAGGTGGAAAGGGATATCAACGTGGCTGTTGTGGGTTGTGGTGTACAGGGTCAGATCCATGCCGCCGGCTTTTGTGCCAATTTCCGGGTGAAACAACTGACTTTGTACAATCGCACGGAGGCTAAAGCTCGGGATCTGGCCGAGCAACTCAATCGGGAACTGAGTTCCCAGGACCTACCGAAGATAGTTGTATGCTCAAGTTCGGCAGAGGCCTGTCAGGATGCTGATGTCATCTGCATAGCCACGTACTCCCCGGATGCACTTGTCCATGCCAAGGATTTGAGAAAGTCCAGTGTTCATATCAATGGTAGGTGAGAGATCCTGGTTATTTTTTTACTATATTCCTAAAACTTAAATACTAAAAATTGATTAAAATGTAATGTTTTTAGCTGTGGGCGCTGGAGAAGTTCACTTTGGTGAGGTGGCCTCCGATGTGTATCGCCAGGCCAAGGTCTATGTGGATTGCCATGCCAATGCCGAGGCCGAGTTGAAAGGTCTACCCGCACCCATTGCCGGCGAACTGGGAGCTGTGATCCTCAACGCCGATTATCCCGCACAGTCGGGCATCTCCATTTTCCAATCAATGGGTAAGTTACGGACTTGGGATTATGCAATGCTGCATGCTTTGCTCATCTTATTTGCAAGCTGATAACTACAGCAGCCTTCCCTTTCTTTTTTAAAGTCAACAAGTCAGCTTAAAATATGTAAAATAAATCCCTTACAGGAATGGCTGCGGAGGATGCCTGTGTGGCACAGGCAGTGCAGCAAGCGATCCAGCAGGAGAGCTCCTAGCCAGGAGACTCAATACCTTTCTCGTGTGTATATATAAGTATGCGTATATTAGAAAAAAAAATATATATATATGATTTTGGAAACATAACAATCGCTACAAACTACAACAAGACCGGTCGGGGTCACTTCCAGATCACAGTCACATTCGTATCCTTCTCAATGTCCCGCTCAATGGTGCTGGGCGAGAGGCCGGTCTTGCAGCAGATCTCGTCGAAGCTGATCAGACCGGTGTACATCTTCTGACGCCCGGAAGGCACTGATCCCGTGAAAACCGGATACTTGTGAATGCAGCGAATGAAGCGGTGCTGCAGCCCAAAGATCACCATCCGACGTTCGTCGATGTTGTTTTGGTGCGGCGAGAGGCGCTGGCAGATGGCCCGCAGGGTGACGCCGTGCGTCATTGAGGCGTAGAACTGGAAGATGCGCTGGACGCTGGGTAGTGTCTTGTCCGGCCGCAGGGCCACATATTTACGACACGCTCCGCTCAGCGCTGAGCTCTGGATGAGATGCTTCAGATTCTGGGTCATGTACACGTTGCTGTACTTGAGGATCGGCAGCAGCTGGACGACGCCATAGTAGACCAGATTCTGTATGCACGACTTGACCAGATCGGTTTCCACGTCCGCTTCCGCGGCAATCCGTGCAACGTGATTGATTCCGTTTATATAAGGCAGGATCTGCAAGGAATCGAGTTCAAATGGGCTTGAAACTACCTCGGAAAGTAGTGGCTTACCTGTTGCGTGGTCAGATCCCAATTGTCCAGCGGTGCGTCCCTCAGATTGGCCAGCAGCAGCGGCACCATGTGATCCTTGACCGGCGGCGGATCCGGCTTGTGCATGACTATTTTCAAATGGATGGTATTGTCGCCCTCGACAATGGTCGCCACCTTGCGTTCGTTCAGGTCGCGCAGCACCGTCTCAAAGATGTTCTGCAGGCGTCGCTTGTCGTCCTCGCGCGACAGGAAGCACGACTCCTCCTCCATCATGATGAGGTACTCCGATAGCTTCTTCACCACCGGCTCGTACTGAACGCTGCGGGCGCGCGAGTCGCAGACGAAGCAGAGATTGAAGAGGAAGGCGTTGCGAACGTACTTTTGCTGATCCTGAATGCCCACCGGGTAGCCGACAATCTTCACGTCCATGGCGTTTACGGTGAGGATGCAGCGCTGCAGGTGCTGCTTGGGTATGATGTACACGTTGATGGCATCGAACACGTCCTTGGAAATGTAGTTGTCGGGCACCTATGGGTTTATATGGAATTTTTATCTTATCATTCGGTGTTTATCCCGGGAACGCACTCACCTGGCAGCTTATTTTGCAGCCCGCTGTGGCGTCAAATTCGCTTAGGAAAATGCACCGGATCTTGCCCTCCGTGCTGCCACCTGCTCCCACGCCTCCTCTTCCTCCTCCAGCGCCTACGCTGCCGCCAGCGCTAGTGCCAACGCTATTGCCACCGACCAGTCCATGTCCATTTGAAATCGCCGCCGTGTCGTTCGTGTGGGTGTGCATGCTGTCAGCTGGATGCAACTATCACCGCATCCGCATCTTTGCATCCGGATCCAAAGGCACTGAGATAGGTTGGCTCTGCCGATTGAACAAATGCTTTAAATTAATTGTTATTAACAATTAACAGAGTTCCGCAAACAGCAGTGTGACCGTCGCGGGGTTTCTCTAATACCAGGAAAAAATACTACAATTTCATTTGAAATCAACATTTAATTATTATTTTAAGCAGACAAGATTTCTATCAGCTGCTCAATAAAAGTTAATTTAATAAGTTCATTTAACTGTGTTTTGCCTCCTCTGAATATGGCATACTGAAATCATTAGGGTAACTCTTTTTGATTGCTTTTGTACTGAATTGGTATATTTGATTTTCGTGCGCCGGTCACACTGCATCGACCAGACTGAACTCAAAACAATATGGAAACGTACGATTTTCTTTGATTTTCTCGTAACTTGTAAATAATAAAGTCTTTTTTCTGCTCACCCCCAGCATTAATCCCACGTTCTCGTACCTCACCAATCTGGAGGTGATGCAGATACTGCAGAAAATCAAGAGCACCAAAAAGAAGTTTGGCATGCGAAATTTGGCCACAGTTACCTACGAGGCAAGTCGTTATTTTCTTATTTTCCAAGCCTCTTATATGGTGAATAACACATCATTTGCATTTTGGCAGGCACTGCAGTACCTAGAGGAGACGCCCTGCAAGACCCAAACCCGCGAGGCCATCATAAACTACGTAAAAGACTTGTCCTCCTACCGACTAAAGTCTCACGAGGTCCTACAAATGGTCAATGATCCGCCAACAAGTGCCCTGCACACGCAGCTGGTGAGGATTGGCTTGTGTTAACATGTGAAGCAAAGCACATAACTCACTTTACTTTGTTCTACTCGCAGCTTATCGACGACAATAAGGCACCCCTGACGGACGAGGAGAACGAGAAGATCATCCAGCTGAGCTACAAACACTTTCACGGTTCGGGAGACACCAAACAGGCGCCGACTGAGCCAACTGCAAGGCAAAAGTCAACTGCAAAGTCTGCTTCAGCGACAAAGGCCCCAGAGGCAGAGGCTGCCGAACCCCCAGCAACCGAGGTTGTTGAAGACTCAGCATCCACAAATACAGCTCCAGCGGAAGAGGACCAGGACCAACCAGAAACCGAAGTCACAGAGGCTGAGCCAGCAGCGACAGCCATAGAAACAGATGAAACAGAGCCAGAAAATCAGTCCAATAAATGACTAAACTCGTTTAACGTTTCATAATTCTTTTCTGTTTTGTGTTTCGTTTGATGTTGCGTACAAAATAAGCTAAAAAATTATTAAATTATTCAAATGCTTAACGCCCAAGTATTCAACGCTTCTGATCGCCCAAATCCTCGATGACATCCTCATCGATTTCCGACCACTTTTCGGGTATAACATCGAACAGGTCGTCCTTTACGTCGCCCTGGATAACGATCTCATCGTCGCCAGTCACCGACGAGCCGCAAGCAAATTTGGTGCCAAAGAACTTGGCGGCCACCTTGAGATCAATGTCTAGAGAGAAAATAATAACCAGAGTTATGGAAATTAACTACAAATTGCAGGCAACCACCCACCGAAAGTGCTCAGCCCGGTGACAACAGTCACCGACTTCTTTTTGCCACGGGCAGCACGCGAAACGCAGATCTTCTTGGGCACGTCCTCCTTCTTCTTGACGCGCAACAATCCCTTGCCACCACGCTTCTGGCGCTTCTTGTCATCATCCGTGCCATCGGCGGCGGCTGCCTCCTCCTCGATCTTCAGCCGTTCAAAGTCGTCCGGCATATTGCGCTCCAGCCATTCCTTGCACTTCTCGTACTCCGGATAGTACTCGCAGTACTGGGGATGAGAACAGCCAACACATATGTATACTCTGGATTTTCAACCGGCTTTGACATTTTCCGCTCGCTCACCTCAATGGGCATCGTGCAGTGGCCACAGTACTTCATCTGGATCGGATAGGTGACGCCCTCGCGGGGACCCACCTGCAGGCGGTCAGCCACGCTGTTGCCTACCAGTCCCACGTCTTCGTTCGTCATTGGATAGGCTTGGGAGTCGATTGTCGGGCTAAAATGTTAACTTATGTTCTGGGAAAGGCCAACAAAAATTGCAAGACGAGTTTCGCACAGCACACCTCGCAACCAGTGTGACCGTAGTTGTGTCAGGTATTTTCCTACAGAAGGAAAAATACTAAAAACTTGAATGGCGTTGCCAGATTAGGCGAGGCCACACTTTTAGTATTTTTAGGGCGGGCTTAGAAAACAAAAATTTAAATTAACTTTTCTTTGCACATTTTAAATTATTACTTATATATTCCAAACCTTTAAATTACCCTTTCCATTTTCCATTTTTAAAATAACATTGACAACTTTTGCTTTTCAATTTCAAAATAAAAGTTATATATAACTTTTTTATCGATTTTTATTTTACTCATAAATCTTAATTTCTGCAAGAAACTAAACTAAAAAATGTTCGATATATATATAAATCTATAAATATTTAATTTAATTTAATGACACATGTATCTTCCTTAAAGCATCTGTGAAATTGAGTCTTGACCCCAAAAGTATGCCACGAATATGGTAGATTTTTTTGCTGTTTTAGCCGCCTTACTGCCCTGTTTTGCGTTTATGGCCAAAACGAAGAAGCTCTCCGTTATCGGATAATGGGCGTCGTGTGTCGGCGGACCGAATTTAGTAAGTATAACGATTTTATGGCAGCCATGGCCTACAAAATCGGCAAGCCAAGCGTCGTCGTTGTCGTCGTCGTCGGGCTGGCCCAGGGTCAAGTGCGTTAGCCTTTATTGTTATTCTTGCCGTTATTGTTATCCCGCAGGCGCACACGACGTATGCGTGATGTGGGCACATGGGTGTTCCATTGAGACGACCCACTTCCGGACGCATCCGGGTCTCGACCTTCCGCCCGCCTACGCCCGACGAATGCTGATTTCTCCTGATTTATACATACATATATATTGTTTTGTATTTTGTGTAGTATCTTTTTGTGAGCGATAAATCTGAATCTCAGTCGCATTTTGGTGCAATTATACAGAATATGTGTACAGGTTTAATTTGGCAATTAGTTAACAATGGCGCATGGCGATGTCTAATTGGCAGGCAATTAGCCAAAAGCTCTATAAAATGTGGCAGCTGGAAGGGATCTGCATAGGCCACGACATGACCAGAAGCGTAGTGGTTTTGGGTTTGTGCATCCTGGCACTCTTGGCCGTCAGCCAGGTAAGGCTCTATAAATTTTTCCTTCTAGGATTAGGGTATCCTTTCATTAATTTCTTGTATTTTTAGAGCACCAACTTTGAAATATTTTGCGATGAAAAAACCATGGACATCTTTTGCAATGCCGAAGAGGATCAGGGTGATATTTCATTTCGCGAATTCGTGGACGTTAGTGGCTTGACCTTCGATGTTGCCGACGATCTGGAAACTCTTTTCTACAACGGCAACATTAAAATGTTGATGGATGTGCCCCAGGGAGCCATCACCATGGAGATTGATGTGTTCCGTTGGGAAAGGAGTCAGTGGCTTCCCACACCGCTCTCCATGAAGCGGGATAACTTTTGTCAGGCTCTTGTCAATCCTCACGAGCTCTGGCATCCGATTGTGAAGAGCATTCCCAAGAAACAGCTTAAATGTCCGCCCACCAAGGGGGTGAGTAAAAGGAAACTATGTAGTTTAAAGTTTTTAAAACGATTTTTTTCCAGCACATCTATACCCTGACCAATGTGAGCAACCATTTGTTTGTAAAAAACATGCCCTATGTGGACATTACCGGTGACCTCAAGGCGGTGGTTCACCTGGGCGTTGGTGGCCACAAGACCTGCGCTGTGGTGTTCTTCAAGGTCTATGCCAATTGACCCTGACAATGGGTTGGGCCTGGTGCGCTGGAGGTGCTCTCGCTGTAAGGAATCTCACCGAGATCCGGCTGTTTGCCTAGTTTATAGTAAGTATTATCTGGCTGCTCTGCTTTTTATGGCCTGATTTGGTGGTGTTTGCTTGGCTTCAATGGCGCGTCCCCCGTTTATGGCACCTAACTAAATGATTTGCAAATAAAACCGAAATATTTCATATTCATGCACTCGAAACGGAATGTCAGGCTGCCTTTAAATTTTTTTGTAGTATTTCTTGGTTATTTCTGGTGGCGCTGGCGATAAGCCCAGTTCTCGAAATGGGAACTTAGCCCAGTAATCGCCTTTCTAGTATTTGCCAAAAAGCTCAAATGCGGCGCCATGCCTCCCTCGAGTTCCATACAGATCCCCACAGATCTTCTCCACACATCGAAACTCTCATCCACTGAACTCATTCGCAACTGCGCGTGACGATTACTTTTGTATCAGATGATTCCCCCTGCTGGCTCTGGACGGACTTTGGAGATCCCACAAGATTTACAATGTCTGTGGATTCGGGTTCACCGGTTTTTCTTCTTATTAAATGAATACATTTAATTGTTAATTGCACGTGGTTTTGTCTGCAGTTGAGATTTTGTCAGAGAAAAGCAAGTAAACTTATTTCAAAAATTTCTAGAAATATATTTCCACAAATTTCCAAAGAGATTTCCCCTTGAAAATAGTTCTTCTTCTTCCTGTTACCAACTCAATATGAAAAATAATCTAATTAAGGAATTAAATAGTCATACATAAAAAATATTTACATTTTTATCGCTGTCCTTCTGAAAATCTACCGATCGAAAGATAACTTTAGTCTGAGTTATTACCCAGTTATTAATGAAATGCAATGACGAAATGTATCTCAACCTGTTGGTTGCTCACATCCAATTTCCGCTTTTCATGGCAATGTTATAGAATACTTATGACTCTATTTGTTATCTTGGGTGTCGTAATGTTATAGGCAAAAGTCGAGTCACAACAAACAATAAATTCCAAATATAAATAGAGTAATAACTCTTCCCTCACTCGACCCGACACATGCCGCCTAGTTAGGTCTTTTCAAAGTTAATTTAGAGGGAGTCATGGGGTCGTCATACAGGGTACTTGATGGTTCCATTACAATTTTTGAACACGAATCTGAAACTGCTGGAACAGCTGCTGGCAGGCTATCAATATGCAATTGAGATCGATGGCGATTGCAATGCCCTGGGCTACAAACAGTGCGGTTCGTGAGAGTAAGGGAAATAGAAAAAGGCTTTTAAAATAATTACTTTATGGGAAAATCAATAAATTATCTATAACAAACATAAAATACAAATATAAATATAAAATTTCAATAATTAAATATTGTGTATATTAATTCTTATTAATTCATCACAGAATTCTTATTTGTTTTATATTTAAAATTTAAACTCCTGCCACGCACTGTTTGCAAATGCTAATTTCCCCCATCCAGTGATCATGCAAATGCAATATAATAAATCGGAATTCATATGCATCAATTACCAAGTGTATGTAATGGTGGTCACAGCTGATGTGAGCCGGCGGAATGTCCGTCTGTTTGCCTGAGAAACGCCAGGTACTAACACTATCCAGAATCTAAAGACCGCTTTGAACCGGTGTCAGTCAGTTTCCACTGGATTCGATTGATTTTAAATTGAAAATATTAAAGATCTTGAGTTAGAGATGTTAATATTTTTTAACCTTTTTCATTTTTTTTTTTTTAAATTAAAAGAAAATGTGTAAAGGTAATGTTTATTTAATTCCCAAAAAATTCTATAGAATAAATTGTTATTTTTTGTCTTGTTTTGAGGCCATGAAATTATTTTGGCTTTCGGGGCGTATGCGTAATATTTTAAATCTAGAAACCAACACAGCCTAAAATCAGTTGTTTGAGAATTAAACCTTGATTAATCCTATATACTTTACCAAATAAATAAAAGCTTAGTTATAAAATAATAAAATGACAAGTCACTGGGTCCAAAGTGCGCTTTATTTGTGGCCTAAACACCCCGATTAAACCGCTTAACAGGACAATAATCTGACCCTTGAGCTTTTAAACTTAACCCCCCCATAGAGCCCATTGTTTGATATCGTAACAGGGTACAGAGATATACATCTATTCCTGGCACCAACTATTTGCCATAAGACCCTCCAGCGAGTACTAGCAAATACACAGAGTTTATGGAGTTGTAAACAAAACAGTAGCCCAAGGGCCCCTTTGTGTGCACATCGTTCAGATTCGTACTACTGTATATACTATATAGTATATGTGTTATATTAGAATGCAGGCTGTTATAGCTGTCCGCAAATTGCACGAATTAGGCGCCTTTATTTACCGCATTTATATAACCATCAGCTGTGGGTAAATATAAACAAATGGGAGGAAGGCACCGGGAATATTTTATGGGGAAAACTAAAAACTAAATAAATAAACAATGAGTGAAACAAGAAGGAAAAAGTTACGAAATCAAAATAAATAGAATGTCAGGGGGGAGGCATTAAATGTCGCACACGAACTGTGTAGCTGTGTGTATAATCCGAAAGATACAACTAAGCGGAAGATACAGTTGCAGTTACAGCTGCAGTTACAGATACTACACTATACATACATACGATATAAATATACTATAGCTTACTATAATATTCTCGAAGAGCGTGCGTGATTCTCTTGACTGGCTTTCGACGTTAATATAGTGATAGTTATTGTTAAAAAGCCGTAACAGACATTGATTATAATTTGCATGCATTTTGTAATTTGTATTAAATAATCGCAGAATGTTATAAAACAATTTGTAACAATGCGGCATAATAAACAATGTTGTTTATTTTATTTATGAAAGAATTTGGCAAGAAATGAGTTTCGTAGAAAATAAAAAGTATTTCCTTAAGCAAACTGAAATATAAATAGTTTTACTTATTCTACAGTTCTCTTCTTACATTTTAAATAATTTTTATTTTCGGTTAAATGAATAATTCTTTAAAAAAAAATCCACAGAACGTCTATCAAGGGCATTCAGCCCCTTTGCGTACATTTCCTGATCTCTGGCGTTGCACTTTTAATTTGTCGCATGTCGTTAAAAAAAAATACAACAAAAAAAAAAGAAAAACGAAAAAAAAAACCCCACAACCACCCATCCCACCCACTCTCATTTGATTAAATAAAGAAACAGCATTTAATCAAAATGAGAAGAGCAAACACGCAGAGTACACACAGTATGCCACAACGTTCGCATTTCGTTCATTAAGCAAATAAATAAATGAGAAGGGTATTAAATTAATTAAATAAATAATATTTTCAGGAACAAATAAATAAATAACACATTTTATTGCGCAAAAAGGCAAACAATAAAATGTTGAGACGACACGCAAATGGAAGACTCGCTTTTTCGATGGCCGCCGAACGCCTTGGAGCCATTAAACCGAGAACTATACAATAATTCCCAGACTTACATTTTCGATATTGGCCTTTAGAGCAGGGATAGGGATGACAAAGATATCGAATGCGATATTTATGAGTATTATCTACTTATTTTTAAAATATTTTTAAGTAAATACTTAGTCTTTTGGTCATAAGAAATATATTTATTTCGCAAGTTTACGTTGGACCGAAAATCTTCTACTTTAATTAATACTATTAATAATTAATTATCTAATTAAATACATTTCTTTTAGAAGTTTTGAGATATAAAATTCTATTTATTTAAATTAATTAAACAATATTTTTTACTTTGCTTTTCTGTATTATACGCTTAAAATGAATACAAACCGATCAAATTTAACAAATCAAAATTTTCGATAATATATCGATATTCAGCTTCAGTACCAAATAATAAATAAGAAATACCAAATGTGAACTTTTTTTGAATTTATTTATATTTATTAAGCAACTAAATAAATAAAATAAAATATATTGTCGAGGCAGAGATGATAAATAGTAATAAATACAATTTTTCGATATTTTTACTTTCACTATTTGTGAGAAATTTGGTTCAAGTACTAAATGGGACAATAAGAAATACAAAGTAATTTATTTATTATCCTGAAACCGATATATTATCGATTTTTTACAAACACTTTTCGATACTTTTGTTATCATCTTTTGTTCGATATTTAGCTCCAGTACCAAATAATAAATACGGAATACGGAATACAAAGTTCGGATCATGGATCACGTGACCGAGGCCGGGACATGCTTCGCTGATTTGTCTTTATTATTTGCCTAAACCATTTTCAATTAGTTGTATGCCATAATTGATAGATTAGCTAAATATGGCAATCATGCAACGCTGATGAAGGTTGTCAGACTGTCGGATTGCCGGATTGCCAGATTACCGGACAGACTCCCTTTCGGGCCCAGGTAATTTGTGTGTAATTACGGCCATCCCATTACCTAATTGCCGGCTATCATTGTGTAAACGGTACGCTACGATGGTTATATATTTATTTATATATGTATATATTTATATATTTTTAAGGAAGCTGAGCCGTTGTAAAGCGATCCGCGGATCACTTATCACGCCTGGTTGGAGCCAAATCAATGATCATCCAGTCGAGTGCGTAATTAGGAACTGTGAATATCCAGGGATCAAGATCTAGTGTCTGCGTCTCAAGTGTTCAAACTTGATTGTATTTCAAGTTTATAGAGAGATTTTTAGCAAATGATTATGAATATTATTTACTATACTTTATGCTCTGATTGAAACAGTTGATGAGTGAATCGATCTCGGAAAAGAAATTGTATATTTTTAATTGAGTTTAATTAAGTTGTTGGGGGATTAATAAATGGAAAGTGATTTCATATACAATTAGGTTTCATATACAAGAGAAAATTACAAATAAAAATGTATAGATAAATCGGTGATAGTATATAGAAATTATTTAATTAGATATATTTAGGGTTAACCGATCTAAAATTATGATAAAAGTAGTTTTAAAATTCTGTTAACTCGATTCCTATATATAAATATTTATTTTATGATGATTCATCCACACAAATTTAATACTAATAAAGACCTAATGAACTTAAACTCCTAGTTCTGGCTTTTTTTTAATGAGCTCATTTGATTGGAAACTTGTTTAAAATTATGCTAAATAAACAAGCTTGATTTAGTGGCAATAGATTCGATTTATGCTTTGTTTTTATAATGGGTATTAATATTATTATAAATATGCAATCAATT